GGGGGGAATCCAAATGAAAACGAGAAAGACAGGGAAAGGGCAGGATGAAATTCAAGGGAGGGGGCTAATAAACAAATAAAACAAATCTATTACTGGACACAGTGATTTTAATTTTCTGTATCCGCCTCTATCCATTCTTGAAAACCTTTCACAAGTTCAAAGTACATGGTAAATGAAAATAAAGCAGGCAGGAAAACCTTTCGCTGGTCATCCCTGATAGTCAACCAGCTACCACTGGCTACAGTCCAGAAACCTCACAAACGGCTCTGTTCATCCCCTGCAACTTTAGACTTGGATTTCGGCATATGTTTTCTTAAGCAACAATAAACAGGAGGGCATTTCAGAAGCAATAAGGCTTTGGGAGGGGAAGAGCAAACATTTCAAACAGAAAAAAAAAAGCAACTAGAACACACCTGGGATAAAAAGGTTGTCTTCCTTAAGCGGAGCTCAACTTCTGGTGGTTTCATGGACACATCCATGAAGTTTTCTTGGCAAGAATACAAAAGTAATTTATCCCTGCCTGCTTTTTTTGTTTTTTTTACACTTTCCAGTCTAGTACGGCTATTATCCCCCATTCACATAGGAAGTTGGACCCTGTTTAGCTTTTTGAGATTAACCAAGGTCAACTAGGTGCTGGGAATGTATGCTTCCCCCCGCCCCCCAAACTGAGCTGTGTATACATACAAAAATATTTTTGATGAGATTTCAATCCTGACCTTGCCCGAGAGGGCCTGAGACAAAAGAACAGTTTCCCAGTTGTTCAGGCACATGCATTTTATGGTTATATTATTTTTAAGAGGCTCTGCTTGATGGTTTGGAATATCTAATAAAATTATACTGTCAATTAAGAGTTTGACCTCAGAGTAGGTATGAAGTTAGGATCAAGGATAAGTTCACCACATTCTGAAAAGCATGAAGATTTTATCAGTATAATAAACTTGCAACTCAACATGGATACCTTGGAATATTCAGCTTAGATTGCTCAGAGTATTAAATGGTATAATACTAATGGTATTAAATAATAGCAATATTATGTTAGACTCTTTTTCCTACAATCAGGTCTGCTTCATCGTGTTTATTTCTAAGTTTAGTCTCATTGAGCCTTTAACCACTACATCACAGAAAACACTAATGTAGACTGTAGTAGGACTGGGGAGACATTCAAATCCACACTCACTAAGTGCCTTTAGCCCATCACCCTCATGCAGGGAGGAATTGGAGGATGGAGTGCTACCTATATAATTTGCAAAAAAAACTTTAGGACAGCAACCTTAAACTTGTTTTTTGGAAACAAAAGCATTATGTATAGCAGAACTGACACAATCCCACCACTTGGTGCCTCTTGAGTCCTCTCCTTTACAGACAAAATAGCTTCTATGAAACTCTTCCATAAAGACCATTAAATATTTCTTTATAAAGATTAAAGAGGAAACAGATGCTCAAAGCTGAAAATGAAGCTTCGTTTTATCTCCTCTATTCACACGTCCCATAAACCCTTAGCAGGTTGTAGTTTAATGAATTAACCCAAAAACCTGGGTTAAGCACCAACCTGCTTATGACATTGGCTAGATTCCTACAACATAGTGAAGCACAAACAACCCCATTGTGTCAACTGCGTAGTTCAGCACATGTGAGGAGGAGGAGGAGGAGGAGGAGGAGGAGGAACCGCACGATCTATCTGATTAATATCCTACACAGTCCAACACGGGTTTACTCCGAGGTGACTCCTACTGAGCCCATCCCCACTCAAGAGTCCAGGTATGCAAGCCCAGTCCTGTTAATGCAGCGGACTCCTTATCCCTGCGCACAGAGTCACCCGCGGACCTGCTCTTACTAAACGCTACTCCGGGTTACGCTGGAGGCATTCTAGGGAGCGAGGATCCCCCGATGGCTTAACTGAGCTCGCCTAAATCCTGCAACTTCACCTTCCAAGAATTCCAGGAAGGCTTTTTTAAAACAGCTATCCGCTGTCCACTCCTGTTATTCTGCAAAATAAATTGTACCGCACGGGACGAGCAAATCTTAGCCGGCAAGCGCAAGGCCGGCTCCCTCTTACGCCAAGCCGCCCGCACAGACGACACCGCCGGGGCGCATTTGGCCCCGGGGAAGTCAGCCGCAGGGTTGCAAAGCAAGACCGCTATTTAGCGAGAAGCTCCCCCCCGAGGACTCTGCGCAGGACACCGCACAGACGGGTGATCCCTCGCGAGGATCCCTCTGCGGAGCAACTGGCACCGTGGTCTAGAAGCAAGCAGCGGGGAGCGCACGGCGACGGGAGGCGGGAGGGTTCTGCTTGGTTGCGGACGCGAAACTTTCCCAGTCCCAGCACCCCGCGAAAGCATCCGCCGCCTGGCCG